CTTATACTGTGCAGGCCCAGGGCAAGATGTCTTGAAGCGCGTTAAGCGTATGGTGGTGCCCGCAGGCACCAAGACTTTCTTCTTTACATTACATTCAGGTACACTGCCGGTCAAGACATGGCTAAACGAGAGGGGACTTTTTGTACCGTGGGGGGATCACTGCTTTTTATGCAAGAAGCCAGAGACGGTCGAACACGTGTTTCTTGAGTGCTGGGATGGGGTCTTCTTCTGGGACGTCCTCCAACGTACCCTGAAGAAGGACCTCTCCCTGGATGCGCATGGAATCCGTTATCTATCGGTTAAAAACGAGGAAGGTTTTCCCTTTGACCTGGTTATGCTGTTGGGTCTGCACAGTATTTGGAAGTCCCGAATGGCTGTACACAACGCTGACAATAACGTACGGGAGGCGCGGGAATATTTTCGTGAAAGTGTATCTTTGTTAGTTGAAGTCAACAGAGCACAGAAGTGCGAGCCTGAGTGGCTTCCGCGCATTGAGGCACTTTTGTCCATAAAACAATTTTAGCCTCCGACGCCAGTCACTTCGGACTGGTTTAGTTTAGCTTTGCCCTGCTTCCTATGGTTTGAGCGCTATGCCTGCCTATTTGACAATGTAAAAAGAAAAACCCGGCAATAAAGAAAAAAAAAAAAAAAAAAGATCGGTGGCCGAGTGGTCTAGCGCACACCAGCTCGGAGCACGTGGAGCGAAAGCTCGCGCTGCAGAACCCAGGGATCCTGGGTTCGAGCCCCACCCCTGCCCGTTTCGATTTGGATGAGCATCGTACCGGCGTGCGGTCGTGTATCACTACTGCATGATGCACGTTAAAGACCCCAGGCTAGCGGCTGTACCGCACTGGCTAAATTTCTCATCTACAGCTGGGATACTCGTCGCCCCTGTGAGGCAGACCAAGTTCTAGGCTGTATAAACACACAGACAACCCAATTTTTTTACCTGTCGGTGGATGTTGGCGACGTCAACCATGGCTTCAGCCTCATAATCTATAGGACTTTTGATATTCAATATGCACCGGGGATCAAGTCCACCTTGGCTCTCTTTGAACGCACGATCGGGCTGAAAAAAACACCACTGGAAAGGGTTGCCCTGAAGCTTCTTGGCAGGCTGCAATCTTTTACTAATTACTATTTTTTTAAGCTTTTGCCCTGTCTCAAGTTTTTGATTTTACAATAAAAACGTGGTTGACAATATTGTTGGCTGACATGACTGGCACGACTTTTTTAAATGTCTGGATTGTGTGTTTCTAGAAGTTTTCAGTTACATTTTGATGCCGGCACGTTGCTATGAGTATTATTCTCTTACCCCTGAAACCTCCTCGAAGAACTTGACACAAAAAGAATTCAGAACTCTCTCGTATGACAGCTGACCTTAGGAATCGCCCCTCCAGCACACCTGAACAAGCCAGTTAGCTGAGTATCGGGGTCTGAAAAAAGGCCCTCACTATTTGGAGCTCCGCGAGATCCATGGTGTACAAAAGCGACCCCAAAAGAGGGGAGTCGCGGAAAACCTCGGAAGTTGTGTGCAGTGTCCGACGGCACTCGCAATTATGGGGATCGCGCGAGTCTCTAGGTGTAAAAAAGGGCACCGAAAAACACCCAATTTGGGGGGATCAAGTGATTCCCTGAGAGTTATAAGCGGTACTAAATAATGCCTGAATTTACGGATGTCGCATGAGTACCTGGGTGTAACAAAAGGTGCCAAAAAGCACCCTATTCAGAAGGGATCCGTTGACTCCCTGAGAATTGAAAGTGGTTCCAAATAATTTCTCTAAGTAGCGGTATAACATAAGTACCTGAATGTAACAGAGGGCGCCAAACAGCACCCGAAGTAAGGGGTGTCGGTTGAGGCCCATGGACTTTGAGGGGGTGCTAAGTGATCCCGTATATCTGGGGAGTACTTGAAATCCCCAACTTGAGGGGATACCACAAACACCCCAGGGGAGTCACATATGGGACACGGTCTAACTCCCCTGAGGGGAGTACCCGTATACACCTTTTTTTTTTTTTTTCTTAGAGTGTATGTTTCTCCGCGCCACCTGCAACAGAGAAAAAAATGTATTATACAGAGTACTGGAATTTGAAAGAAAACTCACACACAGATTGTAAGCGCACCGGCTATCATGACAAGAAAACCCCGACACAGAGCACTCGCCCAGGTAGCAGTCTGATGAACATAGCAATAAAAAAAAGAAACAGAGGGAAATTATCACTTGCACCGAGGACCATCTCAAGCAAAATTAACCTAGGCTAGAACTAGAGAAACAGAAACCGAATAATTTTTCTGGACGTACTCGTAACATTTACGTCATATTTTTTCATACTGTTCAAAACATCTGGAAGAGAAGAACTCATCATTTGGAGGCCGTAATTCGCCCTTGAGCGCGGCGTTGACCAAGTGTCAACAAACACAATGGCTTGGGAAGGTAGACACCTTCGGTTTTATATCAGCAATGGATAAAAAAAACAGGTTGATTTACTAAATTAAAATTCCGGTAATTATAAAATATTTTCAGAACAAGTGAGCGTTTCCTTTGTCTCATCATATTGTTCTTCTGCTAAAATAACTTAATGAACGAGTTACCGTTATAATGCATTATTCCAACTATAAATTATTAACGTCCACGTTTGGGCTCGTTGGCTTTTACGCATAATGAAAACAAAAACAGCGCGAAGTCGAGGACAAAGTAAAAGGTAACTGACAGGACACATCAGCTACCTTTTACTTTGTCCTCATCTTCGCGCTCTTTTTGTTTTTACTGTGTAGAAGTTATTGTAATAATGATGTAGGTAAAACAATATAATTAGATCGCGCACGGTATTAAAATGAAAATCAGTACAACAAATTGTGATTATAAAATGTGCGATAAGAAAAGCGGTTATTTATGCATCTTTGAGAACACGATAGCGCTTCAAGACAGGGACGAGAGTAGGAACGAGACAACACAATGCGCTACACTCAAAAAAGCCTGCGCGTCTACTTTCACGCACAACACTCGGAGAACCAATCAGCGCAACTTACGGAGGCAGCTCAGGGAATGACGATGCCGAAACATCTGTTTAGACCAAAAAACGCAGAGTGAGTTGTGACATTGAGCAATTCAAGCGTGACGTTTTGCACTGCTTAATGTCACAACTCAGACTGCGTTTTTTGGTCTATATGTTTCGGCTTCGTCATTCGCTGAGCCACCTCCGTAAGTTGCGCTGATTGGCTCTCCGAGCGTAGCGCGTGAAAGTAGACGCACAGTCTTTTTTTAGAATGTAGCGCATTGTGTTGTCTCGTTCCTATATCCCCATCCCTGTCTTAAAGCGCTATCATGTTCTCAAAGTTTCAGTACCAACTCGCCCAAGAATCCGCATTACTCAACTTTATTTATGCAGCCCGGGTCTCTCTGTTTACAGATCAGCGGAAGCCACAGATGCGAGACTTTAAAACATGCTTCCACAGAAAGGACGGATACAATTACGTATAGTGCGTTACAGATTCAGAAAAGCAAAACAAGCTCCTCCCACAAAACCAGTGGCGAAGCCAGGGGGGAACTTATGGGACCTCAGCTCCCCCCTCCCCCCCCCCCTCCCCCCCCCCCCCCGATATACAGCTGACCCTATACCATAAACTTGCATTTTGACCTCCCCTTCCCCCCCCCCCCCCCCCCCCCCTCCGGACCCCGAGCCATGGACATCCCAGCCACATCAATTTTTATTCAGAGGGGCGGAGGGACGGTTGATAAAAATATTTGACTACGCTAGTGCACAAACCTCCACTCTTTCCGCTTTAGCAGATCTAACGCTGGAGAGGAGGCGAGTGGAAACTAGACAAGCACCAATCATGGAGAGCAGAGAGTTCTATGGGATGGACTTGTCCCGCTTCTTTGAACCTGCAACAGACTAAAGGTACATGTTTCAAAGCAATTGGTAGCGGGTGTTCGCTGAGAGCTCGCTCCCCGTCTACCAACATGAAAATAACCCCAGAAAACAAGGAAACAAAAACCAGCCTTTACATCGTACGACGTTTCTTCCCAGGAACCCGACTTCTTCTTCGGGGCTTTCCACAGTGGTCGTCTGCATTGTTGTCTGGTCATAGAACTCCGTCTGATCCAAAACAGCACGGGTGCCAGATGCCGAACCTCGTCCGCCGGGAGGAAAAAAAAAAAAAAAAAAAGATTTGCATCGCCAGCGATGTCCTGGCAAAATGGATTGCCTTCCCAAGTCCGCCGGAATGCCCATCATTCTGCGCCCTCTCACCCTTCCAGGACGTGCATGTACCACGACCCACACGAGCCAACGTGCCTACAGAGTCAACGTTCCCGCCGCCCAGCAGCGAATCTGAAGTGCACCGACATGAGGCCAGCTCCAGACCAGACATAATCTCTCCGGCCGACGCTTGACAGCTCGTACAGTCCGCAAGTTCCAGCAATCCCTGGAAGTCCCCGGTAGCCTCGTCATACGTATTCCCTCGCCGTCACCTTGACTTTGGAATCCGAAGAAGCACCCAAAGACGCGCTGCTTTTGATTTATCTCTTCTCGGATCTTGTCTGCCGATACCTCGGCGAGTCAGCAGCGACGGGGAAGGGTGCGGCAACCGCAAACGCGTGTTGTACCTGAAGTCCCTTTCACTACGGACCTCCGACGACGGCGGGGGTAACCCCGCTCACCTCAGATTACAGTGCGGTGGGAGCTACGGGCTCGCCGGACCAACCAACCGCTTCCCTTTCATCGCCTGACGCCGCTCTCTGCGAGTGGGTAAGTGTTGGAGCGTGATCACGTGGCGGAAGATGACTGATCCAACGAGAACATGGATTCCACCGCACTGTCAGCTTAGGGGTGAACAGAGTAAAGTAATGGTAGAGCCTGATTTTTTTTTTTTTTTTTTTTTTTTTCACGCACGCCAAACAGGAGAGGGAAGGAGACGCCCGTAGCGCCCCACCTGGAAGGAAATGGGTGCAGCCTTCTGGCTGGGATCGAACCAGTTTAGCGAAAGACCGGTCCTCGGGGCTATCGACGCCCGCCGCCCTCGCAGACTTCAAGGGGACAGACTCAGAGCGGCGCAATGTCTGCAGCCAGCATGTCCATCCGGCCGGTCCTGCTGCTACTGCTGGCCTGCTCGATCACTGTGAGTGCTGCAAGAGCTCCCGGCTTGTTGCCGGGGGGTTATTTCCTCGGACGCCTCGCGGGGCGCTGGCGCGGGAACCGCCTCACTTTCCCGCGTTTCTCGAACGCATCTCTCTGCCTCGTGGGTGGAGCTTTACGTCGTGCGCTCGATGGGATGTTCGCAAACTTCGCACGGCCGCTCTTTGTGTCTCTCTGTGGATCAGTGTGACTGGAACTGCTTCGAGCACATGAAATAAACGCCAGTTTAATTTCTAAACTGTGATCAATAATGTCCAAGTGCTGGTCTAGACGCACGGCAGGTCTTAGCTATGTTAATAACATGGCCTTCTTTCGATGTCCTAACTATAGGAAACTCCGACCATTAAAAAATACATTTCCATCTTCTTTCCCGCGGCGCGCACGGCGGACAAATCACTAAGATACGCGGACCGTGTTCAGCGACTGATATGGAGCGCCAACAGCGGGTTAGAAAGCGAAACCTTATGCTCACGTGAAACCAAACTGTCTTTTGAGATTCGCTCTGCGGTAAATTAAACGCTCATGCATGTTTCAAAGTGAATGTATAAAATGAAAAGGTCACCAGGCACGCGAGTACTTAATCATGATTCTGTTGTAGAGGATTGAAAAGCACGTTCTTGGATGATGTTAAAACGCCCTCGAGTGCCTTAGCTGCGCGTAGGCTACACGCTTATTCACTATAGTGTGACCTATATAGGTGCTGTACAGCGGCGTAGCTAGGGGGAGGCTTATGGGGCTTCAGTCCCCCCCCCCCCCCCACGAAATTCAGCCGATCACCCTCCCCCAAGTCATGAACATACGAGCCACCTCAGGCCCCCTTCCCCTAAAAAAATTCCTGGCTATGCCACAGGTGCTCTAGGCCAGACCATCGCCGAAAAAGGCGCAAAGGTGACACCGAATCCCGGCTGGTATACACGTATAAGAAGTATTCACTTGCAGTCACCAGCACGTGGTGGGAATGGAAAAAAATGGAAAAAAAAACTTAACAACTCATCGCCTGCCATAAACCAAAGGTGTGTCGCAGAAAAATAAGTCTGGCCAACTCTCGCTATTTGCCAGACTCGCCGTTTGCCAGCACACATCTATGCCCGCCAGTGAATACTCCTTTTACGTAGCGCAAAACGTGTCGACTTTATAATTGCTAACATCGAATCTCTCGCGCAGGTCTGCACATCGGGTGCCCTCGCACCAGGAAGAGAAGTACTGAGGGCTCCAACCAAACAAGTCATCAAGAACTACTTCGCCACGGACAGGACGAGGGGTATCTTTCCACTGTTCCGTATCTCTGTAGTACTTATTTGAATTCAGCTTGTAACCGCTATAGCGTCGCGTCCTATGTGGACATTGAAATTACCATACGCATAATTTGGTGAACATACTTCGAATAACTAGTAGTACTGTCATTTAAATTTGAAAGAATAAGAGGGAAGAGGAGGTTGGACAACCCACTTTGTGTTTATCATTATTACAGGGCGCTCGCACTGTTTAGGATACCGCGACACATCGTAGATTACGTTCAGATAAAATTAGCAGCAGCCTCATACTACGAGCCATTTATGTCCTGTACTATGTAGACCATTCCAGAAATAGGATTGTGGTCGGTGCCATACCCAGCGTTTCATGCGTATCGCGTGCGCTTTGCTTGCTTTGCAAAGCGACTCACATGCGCGTGCTGGGTTGTGGAGAACGCACGTTGGGCTGTAGGCTTGTTAGCATTAGAAAGGTGCATAGTCTCGCGGACAATGCAAGAACGGCAGGGAGGAGTTTCAGTTGTCCCGCCGCCAACGTGGGCCTCCTACCTTCGACAACGCTACGGCGTCTCGTGAACCTCGAGCGCGCAGCCAAAGCATTGCGGTAGCATAGCCTCCTATATACTGACAAAGCCTGCCAAATCGCCACGAGAAGCGGCCGCCGAAATGGAAAAGGTGGATCGGCAGACAACGGATGAGAGGAGAGCCACGTGACTGGCGCCCCGCTGCGGCGAGACGCCGAAACACATTTCTCCCGAGCGAGCAAGTGTGTTTCGGGTCCTCCCCGCTGCAACAGCTGTACGCTGACGTTTAGGTTCCCCAAGAATAGGCTTTTTGATGCTCATTGAAACCGGACCCTCGCGCTTCAAATCTGCGACCGGGCACTCTATGGCTCCGTCGTCGAACTGCTAGGCTTTGTGGGTATAGAGGAGGCTATGGCGGTATTGGCATGAAGCGCGTGCTGGAAGACGGGCCGTTCGAAAGACACGCCCTGTCCTTCTCATTCTATCGGTGACTTCATTCGTTAGCAATTGAAGCCATCGTCTGCATGATATAGCAGGCTGGTTACACATAAGCTCACCAACACTGATGTTTGTTTGTTTGCATATTTGCTTTTAGCTATGGGAGTCGCAAAGTGGAAGTCACGACATCTTGAAGCGTCGAAGCGTCCTTAACTTTGGGTTGTGGGCAGTGTACAGAAAACGCCGGGAGAGCATACTACATGACATCAGCATGTTAAACTATATCAAAAGGGATTCCATCAATATCCCGAGAGACTTCATGCGGAGAGCTTATTTTAAAAATCTACTGTTATAAAAAAAGTTTTGGTGGAAAACCTGTTATCAGAAAAATTCCAAATTGGCATGGCCATTTCCGTTAAAGTGGCCGAACAACATTGTCAGAATCACATCAATGCGGTGATGCGAAAAAGACGAAAGCAAAAAGATTCTGCGAGTCGACCTACTTGTTCCAACTTCGTTGGGGCTTAGGAATGCGAGCAATTCCCTAAATATTCAATTAAGAATGGCGGCGAATCTAGATTATTGTTTTACCGCCTCTTTATTTAAATATTTAAGTGGACGGAAACTTGAGAGAAAATTAGGAGAAGGAATCTCTTTTAGCCTTTGGGCGTCGCGATCTCAAAACGTTTGCGTACCTCTGCTAACGCAATAGCACGTCTATAAAAAAAAAAAAAAAAAAAGCGTTTTATGACGTAGAATAATGCGCGCTCCCTTCGCCTTTGGCTCTATGATTTATTTGCTTATGAGCATCGCCTCCCGGCATAATAAAGAAACAACTCAGGGCCATCACGTGACCGTAGTCTGGTCAGTATTCTGGTCGTATCCTTCTACGTCTATTAAAGTGGGAAGTTTAATATATTCCGTAAGTTGAGGCTCCCTCGTTCCAAGTGGGAGTAGGCTTTTTCGAGAGAAAAATTATAGAAGCCGGATCTCTACGCCGCAAAGCCCGTCGAGACCTTCTACGAAACGTACATTTACACCCGTAATCCGAAGTTTGATTAATGCGCCGATAACTCGCGCATTACGCAACAAACGAGCGGTTCGCATCCCGCCCGAGCTTGGCGGTACAAAACATCGGCCTCGAATGTCTCGATCTCACTTCGATTGTCTTTTCGATTCTTCAAATGGGCGACGAACCACGTTAATCGCTAATCCTAGAAAAGGATGCATTGAGTTCTCGTTACGCTGACGTGTACGTGCTTCCTGCAGAGCGCGAGTCAAAACCAGGAATCTCATCAAGGTTAAAATGATAGTCATCTCCATCGAACCTGCAGCGCGCGACACAGTTAACTAAAACCAGGCAGCCGCGATCTTTCGCGTGTTACATGGTTACATGTGGCTTCCGTGTGCAGATACAGGCAAGGGGCGGTGAATGCTGCCGAGTACTTTATTTGTAGGCAACCAGGTTGCTTCTCTGGTTGCACGTCGGGGGTTTCGCTTTTTGTAGCCAGTCTGGAACCAAGGGATCCTGGATGCAATTTCCACCCCTGCCCGTTTCGATGTGGATGAGCATCGTACTGGCATGCGGTCATGCATCACTACTGCGTGATGCACGTTAAAGATCCCAAGGTAGCGGTTGTACTGCGCTGGCTAAATTGCTCATCTACAGCTGGGAAACAAGTCACCCGTTGAGGCAGACTAATTTCTAGGCTGCATAAACATACACACACCCCATTTTTTTAACCTGTCTGATGACATCATAGGTTGTGACGCCGGTGGCAACAGCGGCGGCATCTAGCGGTTGCTCATCGCTGGATAATGCGCCGAAAAACACGGACAATACAAAGGAATGTTTCTACAGGACGTGGCGTACGGTACAACGTACATCTTGGGAAGGAACAGCGGCAAAAAAAAAACAACTTCGACAGGGGTAAAGAAACACACACGACAGGACGGTGTTGAACTTACAACTGTTGTTTAATACACAAAAAATGAAGGAAGGAAGGAAACATAAAGCATCTTAATCAGAAACACACACACACACACACACACACACACACACACACACACACACACACACACACACACACACACACACACACACACACACACACACACACACACACACACACACACACACACACACACACACACACGCCAACCAAGCAGCATATTATGTCAAGATAGGCCATATCAGTAGTTACGTAATGCCGTTCATAATTGATCGAAGCTACCCCAATTCTTTTTTCTGATAAAGCCACTGACGGTTCGCTCACGCATCTCCCGACAAGTTGAGAAATAAAAAAGGCACCGATGATTTCCCTTGTCACTCTGTCTGTATGTTTATCCAAAACAATTACTTCATTAAAATTAGGCTGGCACTTGCAGTCCTTACAGTGTAAAGATAGCAACCCCCGAACAGTGGCCCTGAGTGAATACAAAGGATGACGTCATCAGACAGACAGTGGCCTGTCTGTCCGACCTGGACATTGCCACACGACAGCGAGATCTTATAAACCATGCCAGACGCACAATCCACAAACGGTACTATGGGCCTTTTGGTGCATTTCCTTTTCGACCGCTTTTTCGTGGTAGCCGCCGACCTTTGCACATAACTGACCCATTTTCTGTGGTGCAGAAAACATCACTGGGACACCATATCGACCTCCGACTTGCTTAAGATTATGGGATACCCGATAAAGATAAAGCACGACCACGATCTTCTTTTTTTTTTTTTTTCTGAATCAGATTTTATTTTTTTCATCCCTTTAACTTTTTTTTTTTCATAAGGAAGCTCGCCCCCTAAGTCAAAGGGGCGGATGGAAACCCTGACAGCTTCAATTTTTTAACCTGCCTGTTAAAACTGTCCTTCATCAAGTGGACGCACGACTTTTTTAGGGCGGACCCAAGACAAGAAACCAGAATGCCCCTTTTTGCCAATTTTGAGGGGCATGACCTATAGTTCAGAATGGCCTTTTTTTGTGTGTGGACTAAACGACCAACAAACACGTTTTTCTTCAAAGCACAACGAAAGGTCAAGGAATTCGAGAACCCCCTCATTGGGTTCTTCATACGTAAACCTGAGCCCCCCGCCACAGTTCTCAAAAACAAAGTACTTTAGCCTGCGTGTCAATCCCATCAGCGCCCTCAAACAGAACCAAAAAAATCGTCCACATAGCGAAGCACTTTTTTTGACGGTGGATACTGCAAGAACACTTTTAATACTTATATCCACTTCGCCAAGATAGATCCAATGCCAACTCCTGCTTTTTGTAGAAAAATATCCTTGTCCCATCCAACCACCATCGAGTTGATGTAAAAACTAAAAAGCTCTAGAAAGGTTCCCAGGGTAACACCGCTAGAATTTCTGAACGCGAGTTCTCCATTGCGCTTTATACAGTACTAAACTGAAGAGAACAACATGATCATGAGGCAGAGAATAAAAAAGATCTCAACATCTATACTAAATGCCGACAAATTTCCAAACGTATTACTTCCAAAGAAATCCGTCACTGCCTCAGAATTAGAAACTTTGAAAGTACCTCCAATGACCAACGGCGACAACTGTTTCTGCAGTAATGACGACAATTGGCGCTGCCAAGTACCTCTCTGTTATAATAGCCCTAAACGGGCATGACTCTATATCTGTTTTAACACTAAAAAAGACTTTTAGGTGCAGACCTTCCGATTTTTTAATGCTCTCCCCCAACTTTTTCAAGGCCAGGTTCTCGCACAATTCCATGGCCCGAATCTTTGCCATCTATACTTAGAGCAATTCAAGAGGGCGGACTAATGTCCGCCCTCTTGAAGTACTTGCTCATAGCAGAATTCGCTTTGTCACAAAACATGCCTATTGCGAACACGACAAAAGGTCCCCTTTGTCAGACTCTAACGCGTGCAGTAGAGAAACTAAAGCTGTCAGGGTTTTCATCTGCCCTTTTGACTGCGGTGGCGAGCTCCATTTTGAAAAAGCTAAAGGGTTGGATAGAATGAAGTCTGATCTGGACAAGAAAAGGATGGTGGTCGTGCCCTATCTTCATCAGGTATCG